GTCCATGCCATTTTTTTAATCAAAGTTAATAGCTGGACAAATAAAATTACAGGGGAGCTGGAGACAAAGTTGTGAGAAGGCTTAGAAATCAATACAAAACTTATGCTCTTATTACCAACGTCGATCCTTCTTCGAGGAAACATTTGGTTCATAGCCAATTGTGTGATAAAATTGCACCAGCGTGAAAGACGGCTGCGTCTCCAACGCAACCAAGGTGAACTGACGAAGGATATCATCTTTGTGGGTAACAAGCAAAGAGTATTGATAGAAGACATCTTGATTTTCATTGAAAATCGGTCAGCTTCACCAGCCGACGCAACAATGAGGCGCAACCATGAGCATCGATAGGTCATCATGGTGATGCATCATTCATTTGGCATCAAGTTTGGGTGAGGCACCTATGAAGTTCGACAAATCCTCACCGTGGTCTGTTTGTTCTCAGTAATCAAGCTCGAGGAAGGACGAACCACCATTTCTTCATTTAACTAGTGATAGTACTAGATTAGCAGCAGCAACAGGAGCATATGGACAATGACCGCACAACCACCATGTACTTTTTGTCAAAACAACATGTATACCTCCATCGAGGCATAAATCAGGACAACTTTTCGAGTAGCATTTCCTCTATAATAGTAGGTGATGTTGGACCAGCCGATGAACCCTAGCTACTATACATGGGGAGCTGGGGAGTAGTCGCATAGAAGAAAACCCGCATGCAGCGACCTAGGGAGCTGGACCAGTACAAGAAGTTATGCCTCAGGTGGGCGAGATGTCGCTTAGGCGGGCGGGCGGGATCTGCCCACACGATGGCACTGAACAAGGGCGCGGAGGACCTTCGTCCGCGCCAGCGCCGGCTCCGAGAGGACGGTGTGCATCTGCTTCCTCCATTGCCGATAGCTACAACCTCAACGCTGCACCTCCTCACCTCCCGCAGCGAACGGGATTCGGTCGGATCTGTGTCCACCAGTGAGGAGAGAGATAGAGTGGACATTGTCATCTTGTTTTGATATGGAGAGGGTGAGAGAGCAAGACGCAAGAAACTCAAACAAGAGGCTATAATGGAGTAAAAAAATCTCTCCATAGTAGTGGTTTTAAATAGAATACGCGTGTTCCCGGAAAAAACAAATGAAAACTGGCGGACAATTTTTTAACGTACCAAGAAAGAAAACTCGATTAAAAACACGCCCTCGCTTCCAGGTGGCGAGAGTCGTCGCTCACACACACATAGACATAGACATGCATATCCGTGTTTACATAAAATTCCATTTGCATCTCCATCTCCAATCATATTTGTCCAACTGGCACATTATTTATGTTGTTAATTATATACGCAGCAATATTAACGTACAACATCTCTTGTTTGCGGGCGTCCGGACCGCTGCCACGGCCGCTCCTGACCAACCTGAACCCTCTTCATCACCCATGCATGCTTCCCGCCGGAAACGGTCAATGCCGCATGCATGCCCAGCCAGAGCGGACGTGACCTCTCACTGGGGCTCCGGCCGCTTCCTGGTGCACGCGACTGCTCCGCGTTCAAAGGTCGCAATAGTCGGCCACAACATGCATGTAAAAAGTTCTTGGGAGCCCGTGCTACAGCTAGCTGTCCTCCCCCAACTCCGCTTTCTTGGATGTCGACCACTACAATCTCTTCCACCAGTGCTAGTACTCCATGGCGCGATCCATCGACAAGCAGGCGGGAAAGTTATCGTATACTCGGTTTGCAGTGAGTGGCATGCCGAGCGACTGTGTGGGGTCGAGCCGTGGAGGAGGGTGAGACACGAACGCGACAGACATGATTTAAACGTTGGTTTTGCTCGATGGCGCGATCCAACAAAACGAAATGTTGGTTTCTCTCTGTTTCCATTTTTTCTCCGGAAAAACGAAAACTTTCCACTCCATTTTCATTCCTACTCCAAGGTTGCCCCCGTTACAACATTCCATCAAATACAAAGGAAAAATAACACGCATGCGGATGCATCTCAATGATTCACAGATCATAGCCAATATTTACTTCACAACTAAATACAAAAGTTGTGAGAGCGTGTACAAAAGAAAAACTATTGATGGGGTCACTACGACTTAAACCCTAAACCCTAAACAGTATTTAATTTCCTGGCCAGGTAGAACCTGTCGAAGGAAAGACGGCTGGCACCCTCGGATCATACTATGCTTTTGTGCAGTTCCACTAAAATCGAGCTGAGCATCCCTGGTGGCAAAAGATATTGAAGAAGTGTGATTAGAATAATAGTAGTGGCACTAGTTCATGAGACATAAATTCATCACAAGTAGAAGCGGTAGAAGTATAGAAAGATCGACATGGAGATGGAGCTACGTGGGGAGCTGCGGTAGTGGAGCAAGCCGGCTCCAAAAGGAAGATGGACTACCTGGGACGTCGGGCTGTATCTAGAAGGGAGGTTGGGACGCGGCATCGGCCCATTACCGCGGTGACCCCCGATTAGGACGCACCGACTGTGGGTTTTCTCCCTCGCCGATGTCGACTGGGTCTATGCAGAACATTGTTCCCTTCCCCCAGCTGCGGGATCAGGCCGGATATGTGACCAGCGGTGTGGCCACCATCCTTCTATGCTTGTGAAGAGAGCAACCCAAGCAAGTAGGCTTGTAGCTTAGGCTCCTGCTAATGTATATAGAGTGGTTTTATTTTTCTCACCATATCAACCATTTTATATTGCATACGTGTCATTGAAGATTGAAATGATGGTTGCTTCTTCCGACTAACTTACTGTGTGATTTGACTGCTCCTTAGTGTCAAACACCAAAAGTGTAGCAAGTACGAAAGTATTGCTTTTGAAGGAACAAACTTCAAAAGTTCCTAGAGAACCATTTTGTTGGCATCACTTTTGAAGTTTGAAGTTTGTTCCTTTTTGTTGGCATCACTTTTGAAGTTTGTTCAAGTATTGGTGTTCGCCATGATATTGGCCCCTCTGGCAATTATATATGTGTTTGGGATACTCATGTCCGGAGTAATATCACTTTGGCGCCTGAAAGAGCACGATTACGGGGGCAACTCCGATGGAGAAGCATCAAACCTGGCGCCAACGATGGACACCTTGCTTTGTTGCAGGGTGCGCTCTTCTGCTATAGGTTCGTGTTGGGTCGTGCGGGGAAATTTATGGCCACCAAAGACTGGCAAGTTCAACCAATACTTCAAGACTACTTGCGCGAAACAAAGAGAGGATGTGGAAGGGAGGGACCTCATGACATATGCTGTAGACAAGATTGGTTCCAGTTCACCTGAGGACTGCATTTCCGGGGTGGAGATATTGGAGGCAGCCATACGCATGGTGAATGATCAGGAAAATGCCACTAAGCAACGCGTGCTGATGAAGCATCTCATCTTGTACGCATCATCCTCTCGACACGTACTGCAGAAACTGCTGGGGATGCTGGATTCAAGAAACCTACATGACAGAAACAGCAGAAAACAGGTCGCGACAATAGTGGAGCGACTTGCATTCAGCATTAATTTGGAGCAGTTTTCCTCGAGGTATTCAACACATATCTTCACTGGTCGGGACATTCGAACAATACAGTATTGCCGAGCCATATCCCAGTTCCCAAGAACAATATGAGCAGCATTTGAAGAAGCAGGTTACTCGTCGACGCCCTTCACTAGCCGGCGAATTTGGGAAGGCCTACAAGGGATCGTTTCTACAAGGCCTATCTATCCTCGGGGATCTTGCTGCCGATGAAAACAATTGTAGAGTCATTAATTAGCGACACCCGAGATCTGGTATCCAAGATCATGGCGCCTGTCACTTCCGGCCTACTGGACCATACCACCGATGATCATGGTACATGCATGGTCACATTGGCCTAGCCCGCATTGGCCTATCTGGTGATGTAGATTGCTAAACAACCGCAGGGAATGATGTAGATTGCTGGTTTACTTCCAAAACCATGTTAGGTGGCTAAGCTGAACAGCCTGGCCGGCCGGCTAATTGATTAGTTAAGCGTTGGGACTAGCTGCTCACATTGGCCTAGCCCGCTCGGTCTTGGTCAAGATCTTAAAAAGAAAAAAAAAGAAGCATACATCCAAAACCTTGTTAGTTCATAGTTGAGCCATGGATAGCCACCGATGGCCGGCCTGTTTATTTTATGGTTGTCCATCTCTAGATATACTCATTGATGAACTGCTAATGGAGGAAACACATATATTGACTTGACCAAAATGCATGCGAGCTCGCTTGGTCTCTGTCAATATCTAATCGTATGTGTTCTCTAGGTCCTTGTGCAGCCTTCCTTCTCAACTAGCCTGACCAGAACGATCTGAGCCGTGATAGATTCCTCTCTCCTCTTCAGCAGCTAGCAGTCTGAGGCCGGCTGGCCGGGGCAGCTTCAGGCTAGCTTCACTTCCTGTAGCTGCAGGTGAGATCAATCCCTTGAATGCATATGATTTCATCTTCTTAATTGCACACGGGCGGGTTTGTCTAGCTAGCTGCATAAATGAGCTAGCCCCATCCTTGTTTGTGTTGAGACATGTGATTAGAACTTTCTCTATTTTGTTTCTTCCAAACGAACAAACATTTGAACTTGAAACTTTGCGGGTCTAGAGCATATGAGTACTAAAACGTTCGGAAATGATTTCCCATTTGTTGGTGCATGAGAAATATCTAAAACGATCAATCTTATTTTAAACTCTATCATTTTAGATATTTATGTTGCACAACAAAAGAATCTACAACATTTTATGCACTGTGTAGTACTCGTGCTGCGTTGTTGACCTGCGAAGTTTCAAGTTCAGATGTTGTTTTGTTTGGGAGAATCAAAAACATGAAACTTGTACAGCGAGAGATCACGGGTCTCAATGCAAAGCTAGATGGCTTGGATAGAAGGTTGACCTGCATGGAGGCTAAAAAAATCCACTCTCCGTCTTGTCTAGCTACTTAATTAGTATCTTCTTCGTTTGTAAGCTAGCTAGCTAATTCCATTCCCATCGATCGGATTGACTTTCTTCAGGGTGTGTGTGGACTGTGGAGTTAATGGCGGTTAACCTGGAACAGCTTGTTGATGACAGCGATTGGACTGAGGTAAAGGTTATCAACCGCTACGCTGTGTTCATGAGTTATCTATCCATGGCCATCAAGGGCTTGGGTTTCTTGGTGCTTACTTGGACCACCGTTGTACTTCTCGGTGGCTTCGTCTCTATGCTGCATAAGAAGGACTTTTGGTGTTTGACCTTCATCACCCTTGTACAGACAGCTGGGTTAGTACTCCTCTCTCCCTTTTTTTTTTCGTATCACTTATATATAGCTCTGACTACAAAAGATGTACAACAGGATTTTTGATGTTAATCTGAATGAGAAACTAGGCTATATGAAGAATGCATTCATGGGGTTCTTCGTGGCCATTGTTTGGGGCATAGTAGGTGAACATATGGCCCCTCAGATGACGATGTACCCAGGCCCTCTGGTGATTCATTTCTTGACTTATATGTGTCTCATGTCGGTGGCATTACTTTTAACATTGGTTCAAGTAGTGGTGTTTGCCATAATATTGGGCCCTCTGGCGATTATATACGTGCTTGGGATATTCATGTCCGGAGTGATTTCATTGTGGCGTCTGATAGAGCACGATTATGGGAGCAACTCGGATGGAGAAGCATCAAACCTATCGCCGGCTATGGACACCTTGTACTACCTTGCTCTGCTCCAGGGTGTGCTCTTCTGCTATAGGTTCGTGTTGGGTCGCGTGGAGAAGAGGATGCCTAAGGCCGGGGCCGACTCGAAAGTTCAAGTAGTACTTCAGAATTACTTGCGCGAAACAAAGAGAGGATGTGAGAAGGACCCGACATTTGCGGAAGGAAGGAACCTTACCTCATATGCTGTTGGACAAGATTGGTTCCAATTCACCAGTTGACTGCATTTCCGGGGTGAAGATCTTGTACGCAGCCATAAGCATGGTGGAGATGCAGGATATTTGGGATAGTCCGAGCAATGTCACTGGGCAGCGCATGCTCATGAAACATCTGGTCTTGTCTGCATCATCCTCTCGACACGTACTGCAAAAATTGCTAGAGATGATGGATTCAAGAGGCCTACATGACAGAGAGATAAGAAACCAGGCCGCGACGATAGTGGAGCGACTTGCATTCTACATTAATTTGGAGCAGTTTCCTCGGGGTATTCAACACATATCTTCCCTAATCGGGACGTTTGAACAATACAACTTAGCCGAGCCATATACCAGTTCCAAAAAAGAATATGAGCATCATTTGAAACTACAGGTCACTCGTCGGCGCCCTTCACTGGCAGGCGAACTTGGGGAAGCCTACAAGGAGTTGTTGTTACAAGGCCTGTCTATCCTCCGGAATCTTGCTGCCGACGAAAACAATTGCAGAGTCATGAGCGACACCCGGGATCTAGTCTCCAAGATCATGGCGCCCGTCACTTCTGACCTACTCGACCACACCACTCGTGATCATGGTACATGGTACGAAGTAGTAGATCGATCAATGGAAGTGATGAGCCAATTAACCAATGCTCAAGGAGAAACTGGGACCAAGCTACGTCGTGAAATATCAAGCGACGCAAAAGCAATCGGCACTCTCCAGAGGATTGTTAGCTGTAAAAATTGTAAAGAAGAGCTGCGGCAAAGAGCCATTTGGATTCTCAGACGATTGTACAAGGATACTATCGGAACAAACATATCAGCTAATTTCGATTTTCTCAAAAGAGGAAATAGTTATTGCAGAGAAGACTTTGTTAGGCTGCTAGTGAACATCTTTACTCACAATAACGAGTATAGCAGCTCCATCAGAGGATATGCAGGAGAAGCACTGTCTGAGATATGTTCCCTTGGCCGAATTAGTGATGCCACAATTGTCATACAAACAAGTGGTGATGTTGTTGATAGTTTCGCTCAAGTGCTTTTACATGAAGAGGACAAGACATGCGGACAAGCAGCTGCTGAAATTCTTGAGCATCTATGTACCCATTACACCAAGGATGATGAATACCTTCGCAAACTTAAGAAGGCAATCCTCGGGGTAATTAGTCCTTGTCAAATGATGAATACCCCTGCATTATTAATTGTTGCCAATACACTTGATTTATCACCTTATTTAGTGTAATTAAGAGTGCTAATTTCATTCTCATGATAGGTGATTGGAAAAATACTTTGTTGTGGAGACGTAACGCATAATGGAAAAGACATAGAAAGCCTGTGTGATGGCAAAGAAGAATACAGTGATCGGGACAACAAGTACGAGGGATTCCAGGTGGACGCACTCTCAAGTATGCCATTGAACTTGCTATCGCCATTGTTATCCCTTTGTGGCACAGTCTACGACATGAGGTTGATCATTGATTTGCATCCTCAGTTGGATGCATCTAACTTTCTAAACAAGCTCAAGCAGATAGTAGTTGAAAAAAGTGACTCCACCGTCGAAAACTTGTCATTGTGCAAGGCTACCGGTAATATGGTCATATCAATGATGAAATACTACACTAGTGGCGGGTTCTTCAAGCAAGAGGACTTTGGAAGCTTGATAGAGGCACTCTCTGGTACTTCCAAGAAAATGCTGGATCTCGCCTACTCAGTGGTTTGTTCTTCTGCCAGCAGCTCCGAAACTAGAATGAAGCTTGATGGGCGTACTCTCGCGTCCCTCGTGAGAGAAGCGAAAGAACTGCTTGCTACCAGGCTACCATCTGCCTCTTTCGGTGGTTGATTTGCAATCATGTTTAGATACTCTTTCTGTATTTTCTTTCACTGATTGGTTATGTATTTTGTACAAAGACTATGCATTTCTGTGTAGTTTTTTCTGTCAGTGTACTTCTCATGAAGAAAATGTCGTTTACATATTATTTGTAATATCTGTGTTTATGATCAGTGAGAGAGAATGTTCTGTCACTGTATCTGAATCTGAAACCTCAAGTTTAAAGCTTTGCATTCAGGATGGTTATCACCGTTTTACATACGCCTAACAATTATGCCAAACTTTCTGGGTGTCATGTTGACAATTGCACATAAACCACGGCGATTCACCACTAAAATTCTACATCAGCACAGATAAAGTTACACTCTTATCAAAGTCAAAAAACAGAAAAGGAATGCTGCTACAAACACTTGCAGAGGATCATTCTCAAGCCGCCAACGGTTTACAACACAGCGATAACGAACGAATAAAACAGGATATACACGGCCCGGCGCTACCACCTAATGCAGTCTCATCAGCTCCTCCACCCGCTTGGACAGCTCCTCTACGGGGACCGCCATCGCCTTGGCCACCTCCTCCATCTTGGCCCTGTTGAGGTCGAGGAAGGACTCGATGAGGTCGCCGTCCAGGAAGTTGCGGGCCTCCGACGTCTTCTTGTCGTTGTGGAACGACCGCCACTGCTCGTGGCTCAGGCTGCCCACGCCCTTGATGAACTTGACCAGGGTTGTCTGGAGCTTCTCCAGGAACACATAGTGGTCGTGGGGCAGGGAGGCGATGATGCCGATGACCCCGTTGATGGTGCCGAAGATGACCGTGGGGATCTGGCCCATCTCAGAGTCCGGGAGGCGCATCACAAGCGACCCGTGCCGGAACCTGTTCACAAACTCTCCGAGGTGGTACTCCCCGACCACCTCCAGCCTGCCCCTCTCCTCATCTGTGGCTGCATCGCTGTTCTTGCGCACGGTGAAAAGGTTGTAGCTGTTCTCTGCACCGACATAGATGTCGTCATCAATCATCTCAACTGCAGTCATCCAGTTTGCGTTGTAGTCCCTAGCAAGCTCTTCGATCGCACTCTCCTCATGCTGTTCAAGAAAAGGAGAACATTAGTCATTGGCCTGATGGAGAACTGCTATACATATGGAACCCGTGTTATGTGCATCAGAGATGTCAAACAGCTAATGCTTACCTTGTACACAAGCAAGGATATCGATTTCATCAGGTCTCCAACTACAATGAAATCACCACGGGTTTGGGTATACAGGGCGAGAATGTGACCATGATGGCCACATTCAGATTGCAGTTCATGTGAACCATCCTCCCGCGTCATCCACTTGTATAACTGAATCTTCTGGTTGATAGCTGCCAACAATTTCCCATTGAATGCATTTAGGGAATAGACAGCTCCTTTTGTTTCTTTCTCTACAATTAATTGCAACCTTCCATCTTCAACTGCAAATACAAGGATCCGGCCCTACACCAAGATGCATAGTCATGTAAGCACTATGTGCAGGAAAAAATAACAAAGAAATTATTATCAACAAAGTTAAAGGAGGTACAAAAGAGAACACAACAATAAGGGAACACCAAGCTCTTCTAATTATTACCTTTGTCGGTTCATTCTCCTCAGGTAGAACATATGCCGTCCCCACACAGTAATAGAAGTTATTATCATCCGAGAATGAGCAGCTAATCATGGAGCAACCACATTCGTATTGATCAAGAGGATGTGTAGACAGAAACTCAAAAGTTTGATGATCCATCAGACGAATGAAATGCGCCTCGCTCTCCTCCATGCTATTCTGGGTGTACTTGAAACTGCAGAACGCCAGTGTCCTCGACTGTTCCTGATGGCAAATGCGCCGTGCTTGTTCATTCAACGGAATCGTGCGGATATGAAGCTTCTGGATATCATCAATAGTTCCAATTGAAAGTTCACCTTCTTTAGCAATTGCAAGGCTGTGAATTATATACACAAAAGAAACCAACTTAACAGCAGGTTTAAGACAATCATCATATCATTTCAAAGTAACTGCTGCCAAGAAATTCATGGAATGAAACACAAGGAACATGTGAAAAGCCCATACCATCAAGTAGAACAGCTTAGCATTAGCAGCCCTTCGTTTTACATCATATAATTTTGTACAGTGTAATGTATAAGAAACTAAAATGATGAATGATAATCATAACATTGGCTTGTATGCATCAAGAACAAATGTATATGGCGTAAACAAGTCAAAAGAAGAACATATTGTATGAGAAAATGAAAGGGGATTATTAGCACTATTGTTTTCAGCACAGAATATGTCAGGTTTCATCATATATTGTAATCAAGGTAATGCAAATATATTGATTCTGCCGGCATACAAGCATTAAGAGCCAAAAAACCAGCCATTCTCAGATAGAAAGAGAGAGATACCTGTCAGGAAAAGCAGCTGTATTGAAAGGACACATATGATTAACTTCTTTCAGATTGACATTGCTGTACAGCAGCTTTTTATTGCTACTGTAGATAACAGTTGGTCTATCAGACGAAGCAAACACATGGGTTGTGCCCTTTGATGAGAATGTACGAAGGCTAATTGGCTGGGTACCAAGAGAAACCTTCTTTCTATCGGTTAGTTCACCTGTGCTTGCATTCAGAAGAAAACTGAAAAGGTGACCATCTCCAAGTGCACAAAGCAAATATGAAATCTGAAAAGGTAAATTAACCGAGGTCAACAACATTGGTAACTTAAATTAGCTTTATCTTTTTCTGATGAAACATGAGGTCAGCAACATACCCCTTCCAAGGTGCACATCAAAACTGACCGAGGAACAATTTCTCCACCTAAATTTTCCTTCCTGATTAATTCAAGGTCAGGAAGCGAAAATATGCTAACACTTATATCAGTCCACATCCCAATAGCAGCCAGAGAGCTATACTGTGGATTCTCCCCTACTGGGTTCAAATCAACACAAGATATCTCATGCTCTAGCTGCGCATGTTTCACTTCAACCAGCTTAGCATCCCTAATCTCTAGGTAAACAAGATGGCCACCACCGGTCGCCAACAGGACCTGCAAACACAAAATGTATTATTTCAAGTTACAGCAGAAAGCTAATATTAATGTGAATTCAAATCATGCATTTAGCATTGTCAAGCACAGAGCATGCTGGCATATATATCCACCTACTAATCAACAAGTGTCTCTCAAGTCCAGCC